TCGTGATGTTGTGGCTGTAACAGTAATTATTAAAGAGGTTCATAAAAAGTATTTTCCTTCTTTTGCTTCATTGTTGTTGTAATAATAATAATAATAATAATAATAATAATAATAATAATAATAATAATAAAAATAATAATAATAATAAGCCATACAAGTTTCAACAATCCCTTATATTCCATGATGTCATAATACTCGTATTATTTCAACAAGAGAAGCCGGAGAATCAAAGTATATGATAAAAAAGAAGCCTTAACCTACATAAACTCCAGAATTTGCATTATAGCAATACAAAATTGAAAAAAAAAAGGAAAGAATATAAAAAAAAAAAAGCCGCATTTTTCTCTTACACTCCGTTTTTCAAGAGTCGATACCACCTCCACACTTCGCGCCAATGAGTACGAAGATAGCTTAATCAGAGATTTCGAGTTCACACCATTGCTGATGTTTTAAGGTTTCTTAAAAACCTTAAACATGATAATAATTGCTCGATAACATTTTCCCAAATAGTCGATTTCATTTCCATTTTTGTACACAGTTACGCCTCGTTTCTGTAACTGGCAAGACTTCGATATATAAGCACAGCACGATTAGCTCAACAGTTCTTGATTTTTTTCCAAGGACAAAAGGCGTATCTGATGAGAGAACATGCAAAGATTTAAACACTTTTCAGTAAAAAAGATAAAATCATAAACACCAGAGAGCAAGGGTTGGATTTCAACACACTATGAGATTAAAACCTCAACCGGGTTTTTCGTGTTACTAAAACTTTTATAAGTCTTTGTCTATTTTCTTTGAGACAAATTCGTTTTTGCTATAATCTGATGCAAGACCAAAGTACAAGTATAATCAAGATATTACCTTTTAAAAAGATGTTTGAATCATTTATTAACATGACGATCTTGAGGTTCATTTGACTTGTCCATGCACGGGGTAAGAGATGGAAATGAAGGGATAGCCTTCAAGATGAATTTACGACCAGTACGAATACCAACTGACAAACTCGATCCAAATTCATTCGAATGCCGATGAGGAGGAGAAACGCGTTTCTTGTTCGGGGAGCAAACTTTCACACCATTGACAGGAGTAGGACTGTCTTTTAACATTTCAGGCGTATCATCCAGAACAATTAACGGATCATCTGCATACCTTTGAACATTTGGTTGTGAGTCGTGTTCGAAAGAAGAAGGATTAATCATTTTTTGCTGGGTATTTTCAGTTATCATGTTATTGTTAATATCGTCTGAGTTTACAGGAGACCCTGCAGTAATCATGTATGTGAAATCAGCTTCAGGTGATTGGGAGTACTCTCCAGAAGGAAACAAAGATTTCAATGGATCCTTTCCATGGCTGCATGATTATTGAAAGAGAAACGGTTAAAAAGAGTTTGAAAGAATATAAATTAAGTAAAATACAGAAATTCATCGTTATGTACAAGTTACAATCAAAAGAACATTATTAAGAACTTAACCTACTTTGAGAACTGGAATGCTGGTGTTGAGGGATTCAAATGGTGTGAATTGAAAACCTCAGTATGCTTTACAGCAATTCCAGTTATTTTACGTTTCTCAAGAATTGACCCATCTGCTATTTCTTTAGTATCCTCTTCGCACAACACATCCTCAATCGGGCAACATTCTGGGAATAAAAATAGATTGTCTAAATTAAGGCGCAAGCGAATGTTCGTAGGTAAATAAGAACATATATATAAAACCAAAAGGGTTTTGACGAAGATAATGAAATATAAAGCTATTAGCCGATGAATCTAATTACACAGTCAGTTATGTAGGTGACCTGCACGCACAACAAAAAAAACAGAGAGAGGGAGAGAATTCCGCTTCCATTTTCCACACAGGAGATGCAAACAGAACTTAAACGAAAGCACCATTTCCATATCAGAGTAAAAGATAGTTATTGCTCGATTACGAGAGAGAAAAAGAAACAAAAAATATCATTAATGAATTTTCAACTTTCAAGCACCCCTACCTCCCTTTCGGCCAAAGGCATTTTGGCATCCTTCACATCGGCATCCATCTGAACAACCAACATTCGCCTGCTCGAAAGGAACCAAAAAAAAACTCATTGAAATTAGAACAAAGGGACAAATAACTCAAGGTAATGATACGAAACATTTCGTGAACAGTACTCACATCCACAAATCTTATACCTGATAGCACTCACAGTACTTCTTGAGACACATGGACTTCTTACACTTGCACCCCCTTTTATGCCTTGCGGAGGAAGGCGTGAACGGGGGGGTCGCATCTTCCTACAAAAACCAATATTTTCAGTTAGTATTCTGCTTATGGGCCACTTGATCATAGATTCTGATGAAAAGACAAAAATACCCCACGAATGCTAGGAGGTTGAACAGTGTCGCGTTGTACAACTCTGGGAGCAAATGCAAGGGGATCTCGTGATTCGATCTTCTGCCGTGTCTCGATAACCATGCCCTCATATTTAGGTGTGTTAAAGCAATCTTGGCATGCACAAGGTTCAGCGCAATAGATCCCGGCAGCAAAGCAATCACAGTAACTGTAGAGGAACAAATAGTGAGGTAAAAAGAAGCGCTGAAGATGTAATTGGTAAAAAAAAAAGTAACAATTTGGAAATACTTACAGCTTCAAGCATTTACTCTTCTTACAATTACAACGCTTGCAACCACCGCCTTCACCTGGGTTCAATAATTTCATCCTGGAAAGATAGCAAAACATTGCTCCTTTTATTTAGAAGCACATAATAATATGACAAAATATGGTATGAAGATTGAAGACAGCTCAGACTAGCCTTTTCTTTTGAGGGCTCAACTTGGCAAACTCTTTAGAACCACCAGCTTTTTCAGTACACTTCCTCTTAATACCAGGCGTTGCTAACGAATTTAAGATGATAGAATCATTTGAAGGAGTGACTTCTAATGAAGTAACTCCAGCTGCGGAGTGACTTCCATGCCTATTATCATCAGTACTAACTGAAACATTCTCCACAGGGGGTAACATAGAAGAATAATTTGAAGAATCAACAGGATGAGATTCATTCACATGCATGGACTTCTTCCCGGCAATACTGAAAGTATGAGCTGACCTCAAATTTACTTTTGAACCAGATCCAGCTTGCACAGCATTGATTATACTGTTCAGGTGCAAGCCAATACCTGAAGGCTTGGGAGTCTTGATGGTAGAGTTTACACGATTTTTAGGGCATAACCCCTCACTAACCAAAGTACTTTTAGCCATCTGACCTGATAATACCTTGTGCTGAGCATCTTCAAACTGGAGAGAGCGCCTATGTACTCCCCGGAGATGAAAAGCCTAATATGTTTGGCAAAGTTTCAGAACAAGAATATAAAGTTAACTGAAGTAGAAAATTCGGTCCTCAAGTCCAGACCAAGTCAAGGGTCAGAAACAACCAAGCACAGCACAGTAATTCGACATCCAAAATGAAGGAAAGTTTACGCATCACCGATAATACATTCATACAAACAAAAGAAGAGAATATATTGAGAACACTATTAATTTAGTCATCTTGAAGGAGCTTGTTGATGTGGAAGTTTTCACAAGTAAAGAAGCAGGCAGTATTAATTCGTGACATCAAATATCTAAAGAAGCCACAGTTTGTAGAACATATAAACCATTTTCAAATATATATTCTATATGTGTGTGTGTGTGTGTCACAAAATTCAAACCTCGCGGTCATTTTTCACTCTTATCGGAGCTCGTTCAGACAAAGCTGCTCCAGTATCCTCAGCAAGAATTTCATTCTCTTTTCCTATTTTCATTGACCCTGAAAGAAAATGATTCGATTGATCTGAATGGTCAGCCTGCTCAGCCTCCACGTTCTGCAATATCGAATTATTAGATACCAAAACATCAAAATTGGTGAACATTTCAAATCGCAGACAATGGATCAGTACCAACCTCAGTCATAATATCTTCTTTGGTCTGGTGGGTCAATGCATGGAATATGGTCAACTCATGTTCTATATCTCTACCGTGGCAACTGGAAACACCATCCACCTGATTTGAATGCTGTTCAACTGCATTCACATCAATCAATATATTTTCTTCAAGTGCCTCTTTGCTAATAACATCAGGCACGACAGCTATTTGTTCGCTTGTTCTTGAACTAATTTCGCACACATGGTTTAATTTATTTTCCTTTGCTTTTGGTGAGTGATCAGAGAATTCAGATTTTTCGGTAGTTGAATTATTAGAGAATTTCGGATTGACAGACTCCGCATCCACAATGTCAGCCAAGAACTGATCTGGGCTTCCTTCAGGACTTCCGGTTAAGTCATTCTCAGGGCTATTGCTTTTCGTGGCCTTTTCTAGTCTAGTGCTCAGCTGAATATTCAGCTTTCTGTGTCCCTTCACATCCTCCTCAGGGCCAGCTAAATTTGCAGCAGAGACTCTAGGGAATTGTGCCCTGCTTTTACATCTAACATCAGCTAATATGTCCTTTAGAATGATAATAATAATAATCAAGAAGGCAACTTATTTTTTCACTCTACACAATATTTGAAAAACCTTTTCAGAAAAGCTGACCGTCTATGGAGATTGAGTTGCGGTGAAGTGAATACGAGTGGAGGAGAATTTAGCTCCGGGAAAACTTGCGTAATTGGTGGGGCCCTCACTGTCTGTATGGGGGAAAGATTGCTAAGAAAATTGAAAACAGGCGAATCCTGAGACCCAAAAGGAAGCAGCATGAGAGGAATACACCACAAAGAGAAAAATCATTTCTTTATCGAAGAATTAAGATTAGGTGACCCTCATTACTTGCAACAACTAGACCTAGTGACTTCTGCCAAACTCACACATTTAACAAAGAAGAGGAAGTTCAGTAACTGCATAGGATTAAATTCAAGGACCAAACATGAAAGCCCCAGAGCAAAAAACTTTGCCTCAACACCAATTAAAAATACAAGGGAACATTGTGTCC